TGATGAAGATATGACTTGAACCATTTAAGGTCAGTTCCAGAAAGTTTGATCCAATTTTCTAGTTTTTGTAACAAAACTGTGTGGTCCACTTTATCAAAAGCAGCACTTTCATCCAACAGCACTAAAACAGAGACTTTGCCTGAGTCAGTTTTCGAGCAAACATCATTTTTTACGTTAAGAGTGCAGTCTCAGTGCTGTGATGGGGCCGAAAACCTGACTGAAAGCTATCAAAGCAATTGTTCAACTTCAGAAAGTTGCTAACCTCCGATAACCTTACTTAAGAACGGTAAGTTTGAAAGAGGCTGATAGTTGTTCAGTATAGTGGCATCAAGACTGCTGTTCTTTCGGAGAGGCTTGATGACTGCAGTTTTCAAAGCATTTGGAAAAGTGCCAGATTGGAGGGAGACATTAACTATCACAGTTAGTTGTTTTAACAGGCTGCTCAGCACAGTTTTAAGGAAGCTAGTGGGTAAAATATCAAGTCAGCAAGTGGAAGAACTGAGACTGGAGACAATTTCTTCCAGTGTTTTGTCACTGACGATGGAGCTTTATCCCTATCTTTATTCAAGAGAGTGGTCTATCAGTTTGAGAGCATTATTTATTGATTTCATGTTCAAAAACCCTGCCCTCGCACTCAAATAGCCTCTGCTTGCGCTTGGATCTAGTCCTAGTCTAGTCAAATCCTAGTCTTCCATCCTCGCTGCTCAGCTTCTGCTCCTAAGTCTGCATATCTAAGCTTTTTTCTTTCATAGTCGTCTTCCACTGAGTGTTCCCAAGGAACTGTCAGCTCAATGAAATAAACTATCCGTTGACTCGCTGACCACAACACTATGTCAGGCCTTTGCTTGGTACAAACTATTTCCTGGGGAACAACAAGCTGTCCCCCTAAATCTACTTGGATTTCCCAATCACAAGCACCTTCTAGGCGGCCACACCCTTGCCTCCTTACTAACTTATCCTTTCTGTGTTTCTCCCCCTCACAGACAAACTGAATTGCTAAACTCCTATCCTTAACACCTTCTGAATTCACCTGTCTTAGTTTCCCTTCAATGCCTGCAGTTAAACATTTCAGCACCTGGTTATGTTGCCATGTATATNGGGTGGTGTGGCTCCAGTGTGTTCAGTGCAGCGGCCCAGGCCGACGCCCACTCGCAAAGAGAACAGCTGCGTTGGTGGGGTTTTTTTCTCCACAATCGAACATCAATTTTCACATTCGAAGGTCCTTTTTTTTTTTCAAATTCGAATTTAAATTCAAATTTAGAACATCTGTTGACAGCCCTAATGGGCATGATGGGTCCTCATTTACCCACAGTTTTAGGTTCTGGGGGGTTGGTAACACATCGTATGTAGCCCCTACCAGGAATCTAATACGATTCTCCTCCATACTCCACAGCTCCCTCTAACCCTAACCCTAACCCAACTAAGCTTCCTCTTCTCTACACTTTCCCAATTCAACCACTGTCCCTGCTTACCCTGGGCCACTACCTTTGCACCCCTTAATATCTCCTCCTGTCTGCGTATCTGTTCCACAACCAGCTTTCTTTTATCTTTGAGACCTGTTTTATTCCATACCTGTTTTCCTGATCCATGCCCCAGGCCTCCCTGGCCAAACTGAATATTACCTACAATCTCTGCATGCCTAAGAGCTGCCTCTGCCTCCTGAACTGTTGGGATGTCCTCATCATCTATGACAAACTTCCTATCACTTAACTTCCCTCTACATATCGAGATGCTTCTAGATTTACTAGGCTTGATTTTCATGCTGGCCCACTTGAGGTTCTTATTTACCTTCTCTAGTAGCCTCTTTGTACATGGCATTGTTGTGGTCACCAGTGTCATGTCATCCATGTAAGCCCTAACTGGTGGAAGATGCAACGCGTTCTGCCATCTCTCCCCACCTACCACCCACTTAGAAGCCCTGATGATTATTTCCATTGCCATAGTAAATGCTAATGGAGAAATTGTACACCCTGCCATGATGCCTATTTCTAGCCTCTGCCAACCTGTTGTGAAACCTGCCGTACTTAGACACAACCTAATATCCTGAAGGTATGCTTGCACTTAACAACTAGTAGTTAACAACTACCTGTGGCACTTTGAAATAGTCAAACGCACTCCAAATGAGGCTATGTGGTACTGAACCAAACGCATTTGCAAGATCTAAAAATATTACATGTAGGTCCCTTTTGTTAATCTTCGTTGCCTGAATCTGGTGCCAGATCATGCTGGTATGATCTAAACACCCTGAAAAACCTGGTATTCCTGCCTTCTGCACCATAGTATCTATTAAGCTATTCCTTTCTAAGTAGCTAGCTAATCTATGTGTGACTATACTAAAGAAAATCTTCCCCTCCACATTCAAGAGAGAAATCATCCTGAACTGGCTAAGGTCCACAGACTCTTTTTACTTAGGAATGAGGACACCCCCTGCCCTACACCATGCTATTGGTATAATTTGTTTTTCCCAAACTATTCTTAGCTGTTTCCACAAAATTTAAGGATATCAGGTGCACTTTTATTAACCCGGTAGGGGACTCCATTAGGCCCTGGGGCCGAAGAAGCCTTTGCACGCCTGACCACCTCCTGAACTTCCTTCCACCTAGGTGGCCTGACATCCATCTCATGCTCTATCCCTCCTAATGGAGGGATATCGGGTGGGAAACCTACTATCCTATTCTACTCTAAATCTGAGTATGTGTTTCTCAAATATTCTTCAACCTCTAGCCTTTCTGCTTTAAGCTGCCTTCCCTTTTCCTGGCTGAACATTCCTTTAACAAACTTAAAAGGGTCCCTGAAAAAACCTGTCCTAGCATGTTCCTTCTTCCTCTTTTTCCTGAGATGCTCTGCCCTTCTAAGAACTGCTAGCCTGCTTCTCAACTCCTCTTGCAACACCTTAATTCCATCCCTTTTTTCTTCTGTAGCCTTTTTCCACTGCTTTCTTAGCTGTCTCCTTTCCTTGACTAACTTCTCTATTTCTCTTTCCCGCCTAGACTTACCTGACTGTACCCTCTCACTCCTCTTTCTCTCATGCACCCCAAACCTCTCTACACCATATGAATAAATTATATCTCCCATCTTTTCTAACCTTTCTATTGCATTTCCTCTAAGCCTACTTAAGATTACTGACAAATTTCTGTTAACTATCTCCCATTCTTTACTGTCATTTGCCCTGGGCCATCTAACTCTAACCTTTTGCTCCATGGTTCTCTCTCTGACTGGCCTGCTAACCTCAGTGTCACCTGCATCCTCTCTTACTACCCCCTCCTCCTCCTCCTCAGTGGCAGCGTTACTGATATCCTGCGAACTGTGGTTTTCTACCTGCCGCTGGACTTCATCCGACTGACTCGACTGACTTCTTAGGAAGTACTGATCAATGCGACTACTCTGCCCTTTGCCACACACTTCTTCTTTTCCCTGAGTTCTGAGGCCTTTCACTGATGTTACTTTCTGTCAGCCGCAAGGACAAACCTGAAGCATCTTGTTCTCAACTGTGCTACTTTTATCCTCTACAGATGCGCTCGCCTTGCCCTGAGTGCTGCTAATTCTAGCCCTGGTGGATAGGTCCATGCCATGCCCCTATCCTTCACTGAGTCACAGATCCAATGCATAGTCATGTCCGTGCCAATGGGTGTTACCGTGTAATCCACCTGTGAGTCATCTTCCACCCCTGCTCTCGCTGACTCTTGGGGTATTTTCCCTATGTTGGCTGTAGCTAATTTTGGTTGTAGTAAGGCTGCTAGGCCTCACCACTGCTACCATGGGTTGCTAGCCCATGCCAGCACCTTTGGGGTCGTTTCCCTCCTGTCAGCTGTCTTTCCAAGTGGTCACATGGTCTTTCCCTTGTTGTCAGCTGCCCTATTCACAGCAGTCACTAGCTGGGCATAAATGCATAATATTTCTTTATAGATTTCAAAGTGCATGTGGAGCTTTGATTTACGCCATATTTGTTCTGCTTTCCGGCACTTCCTTTTCTGGGGCCTTACAGAAAGAGTGTTTCTCCATGATGCCTTTTGCCTTATTACTAATGAATTTCACCTTAACACGAGCAATGGCATCAATGACATTTGAAGGAATTCAACAGATCATCAAAAATGATTTGAAATAATGGCAGATTCAAATGTGATAGTTTCCATGAAAAGTGTTTTGGTGCTCTCATTAAAGTACTTTTTTCAACATTTGCTGATCCATGGACAATTTTGGGAGTTACTGACCGATCAAAAAATACACAGAAATCATGATAGAGCAATATCAAGCACAGTGACATCTGACATCTTAACACCTTTAGTAATGACAAGATCTAGAGTGTGTCCTCTATTATGGGTCAGCTCTCTCACATGTTAAGAAAGATCAAATGTGTCAAGTATGGCAGAAAGTTCTGTGGCATTTTTCTCACATACATTATCCATGTGTATATTGAAATCATCTGTTATGACCTTCAATAATGAACTTCATTTCCATTTTAAATGACATATTCAAAAGATGAGAACTCACCAAATGATAGCTTCTTATAAAGAAATCTATCTCTGAAAAAGGCACAGACACCACCTTCTTTTTTGTTCTGTTGTGCTTCAAACGTCAAAGTGTGAATAGGATTTCCCATTCCATTTGGCAAAATAAAAGGATTCAAACGAGATTTTAAAAGTATTCTCATCTATTGTTCTGTATGTTGCTCTGGCATCTAATATCATCACAATAAAAAGTCTCACTTCTGATTGGACAATAACAGAGTGTGTTCATTATGGTAATGAGATAGGGGTTGATAAAAACAGTGTGCACAGTGGCACTGTAATGAAGAACACCCATCAATACTGCAAACTATCTTGAGCATTTAAAAGGTACGACAAACAAAATATTTTATTCTAGAGATTTATCATTGTAGTTTAACATTCATGAATATCAAAATATTTTAAGATAAACATACATCTTTCATGCATTAATGTTGTTGGTTCCTCATGGAAAATATTTATTCTTAATGGACATTCTTACAGGAATAAAGAAACATGGCACCAGAAGTCAGCCGCACTGATGTGAATGACATACATCCCTGTTATGAAATATATAATGTCTCCTACAGACTGACAAGCACTCCTTCTACAATATGTGTTTTAATATTTATTTTCCTTGGGTCATTATCTGTTGTCACAGTATGTGGAAACCTTCTGGTAATAATCTCTATCATTTACTTCAAACAGCTCCACACTCCTACAAACTCTCTCATCCTCTCTCTGGCTGTAGCTGACCTGCTTGTTGGTCTTGTAGTTTTTCCTCTCAGCATGGCCTTCTCTCTTAGCTCATGTTTACATTATGAACATTTATTTTGCAAAGTGAGAGATAGCTTTGATGTAACACTGAGCACAGCTTCCATTCTGAATTTATGTTGTATTTCCATAGACAGATATTATGCAGTGTGTCAGCCTCTGACATACAGAACTAAGATAAATGTTAAAGTTGTTGTGGTCATGATCCTGGTCAGCTGGAGTGTGTCTGTTTTAGTAGCCATTGGCTTTCTAATTCCAGGATTAAACCATGAAAAATGTGACGATAATTGTTTTATTGATCTTCTACTTGCACAAATTTTGGGACCCATTTTCTCATTTTACCTCCCAGTGATCATAATGCTCTGTATCTACCTGAAGATTTTCCTTGTGGCAGAGAGACAGGCACGCAGCATCAGGAACACAACATGTCAGAGCACAAAATGTGGAGCAACTGTAGGTAAACATGAGAGAAAGGCCACCAAAACTCTTGCAACAGTTATGGGAGTTTTTCTGATGTGCTGGACTCCTTTCTTTCTCTGTTTTACTTTTCAGCTTTTGGATAATGTGTCAGTACCACTTCCTCTGTTTGAAACTCTTAACTGGCTTGGACTGTCAAATTCAATGCTCAATCCATTTATTTATGCTTTCTTTTACAGCTGGTTCAGGTCAGCTTTCAGAATGATCATTTCTGGGAAAATATTTCAAGGTGATTTTGCAGATACACAACTGCTTTGACATATTCTGTGGATGTTACGGTCTCCGGACCTTAGTACATTTATTTTCTGTGTTTAATGTGCTGTGCATGTCATTATGGGAATTATTCGGCCAGCACTTGTCAATCATTTATGTGTGTCTAATTGTCTGCTCTTCTGGAGGGAATCCCCGGCAGACCACGCCTCCAGCCCGCTTTCCCCTGCTGCTATTCAGTGTTCCCTCGCTTGCTGGCCGGCTGGCCCCCTCGCTGTCATCATCGGTTCCGGCCAATCACCGCTTCACCGGCCCCTTGTCTGAACCTTTAAAAGCTGCGCGGAGTCAAGAGCAATGGCGGCTGTGATTTAACTCGTTGTTGTTGTATTTGGGAATCTGTGGGCTTTAGGATTTAGCTTTGTAGCCTAGCCACATATCCTTTACAATCACACGTAAATTGTTTGATGTATGGTACATTAGCTTTATGGGTGTCGGTTTGAGTGTTGTTTTGTTTGACAGGTAAGTGGTAGAGCAGATAGCCTATGTTTTAGTTTTGTTATTCTGGGTGGCCTTCCACCACAGTTAGTTAGTTGGGGTGTTTATTTTGTTGGTGACAGGTCAGAGTTTTGTTTTAATTGTTTTATGGTTTGCCGTCACCCGCCGCCTTTCCCTGAGTTTGTTATACTTAAATGTAATTCACCGCCGAGGCTCCTTCCGTGAAGCCCGATTTTCGGGTTGTGTTGCAGAGCCTGCAAGCGCGTTTTCTTTTTGTGTGCCGCTTTTTACAAAAGCGTAGCTTGTATTGTTTATTTTGTGTATGAATAAACGGCAGCTTGCCTTATTCACTTCAGCAGTGGAGTGCTGAAATGGCCAACATACAAGTCAGTACTGATGAAATTTGTCACAATAAATACTGAACATGTGTCATTAGACTCTGCAACCTGTGACTTCACAGCCTTGACATTGAGAAGAGGTTGGTGGAATCAGTCACTCTTGTGTAACATTAAATAGGCGGCTTGTATTTTCAAAAAGTATTTATTCATAATATAAAAACAAAACATGATCCAAACTAAGTGTGTGTGTGTGTGTGTGTGTGTGTGTGTGTACATGATTTGTGTAGGATAGTGGCGCCAGGATAGACACGGGGGATAGTTAATTTGTGTGCAAGATCTTGTGTTTGTGAAACATGAACTAACTTCAACTGGTGGTGAAGGCACAAATGTTGATGTCACCCTGTAAGCCTCACTACAAAAAGATCACAACAATAAAACTCAGTGAAGAGTGTTAAACTACCACTCAATCATATTACATGTACATTGAAAAAGTTAAACAGTCTTGTTTTGCTTTGTGGATTTCAGTTAACGTTATCAAGGCCCACTTATTTTGTTACCAGTCAATGAATGGAAGAGGAAAAGGGGTGTCCAAGAACTTAGGGGGTTTGTTCAGGTTGAAAGTTAAACAATTAAATGCTTTCTGTCTTCCGCCCCATGAGGGGGGACAGTGAGGCAAAATTGCATCTGCTCTGCCCAGTTCGTGGGGAACCAGAAAGTATGCGGAGTATAACCCCTTTGTCATGAGTGGGCATAACAGCTGCTGAGAGGTAATCAATCTCCTCCTGGAAGGATAGGTTCACCTCCTTGATGCCCATGAAAGGAAAATGGAACATGGTAGAACTGGATAGAATACCCTAGTCACAGTCCATCCATTCTGTTAATGTGCAGTCATCGACATGCCCCACGAAACTTAGTCAGGGGACAAGCAACCAGCTGTAGGGTGGCAGCTAAAAAGCTCTGCTAACCTGTCTCCGACCCTAACTGTGCGTTTACACCAAACGCGATGGATGCGATGAACGCCACAAGTTTCCATTCAAAATCAATGTAAACGACGCGATGACACGTGATGTCGCTTCGGGCGACGCGTTTCAGGCGATAAGAGCGACGCGATGAAGCGATGACGCGTCCATCGCCTCATCGCGTGTCGCTTGAAGTTGAAAAATTTGAACTTTTCAAGCGACATCGCGTGACGCTGTGCCGCGACATCGCGTCCATCGCGTTTGGTGTGAACGCACGGTAACTGCTGCCAGACCCTCCATAAACAGAAGGTTGGCTCTTAGCATGCTGATTTGGAAAGGGCTGAGCCAGTGGTGAGATTAGATTGGGTTTGATTAGACTAGATTAGATTAGATTAAATTAGATTAGATTAGATTAGATGCCTATCATTGTCCTTGTGGGAAATTCATTCTGCTCAGGTCAACACAACACAAAAGATACCACAATAAATAACACAACATTCAAATAGTCAGTAAATATTCCCGTATACAGGCTGACTCTACAGGTAGAATACTTCATAGTAACAAAAGCAACTCCTTCTGCAGATTAAAGCAACTCTTACCTTTCTTGCATTTCACACAGCACTTAGAAAAAATTTGAACATCCACAACTCCCGCCTCCCTCCAAAGTCCCATCCTCCTCCTCCATTACGTCCTCATTATGTCTATAGAATAAGGTTACAGTGCTAACGTTAGATAGTAGCGTTAACGTTACTAGTAAGTGGAAATGCAGAAGGAAGATAGCGTTAATGTTTCAGAGGCTACGCTACAGTAGGCTAATGTTAGCCATTAGCAACTGGATGCTGTGTTGTCATATATAACATTAAGAACTGACCTGAACTTCTTTATTTGTCATTTTTATGCGCAGCACAAAAAACGAACTGACATTTCGTATACCCCAAGCAAAAAGAAACAAAACATTTAAAAACAATTTGTGCAACATATAAGAAAGAAGATCATATAGTGCAATAGTAAGATGAAAAGGGTCGACATTTCACAGTCAAAAATTTCACATCCTGAGAGCAGAACTGGGAGATCCTCTTCACATCACAGCACCATGAATTGTTTGTGTATACACCACGGAGCTTACCAGATGATGCAGCCTCCCTGTCTGCTCTGTGTAGTGTTAGCCCCGTTAGCTCAACACCGGCGTCTTATATGCTACCATTTCTCAGTGAACACTCCTCTGCGAGTGGATCTCCACTGTCGGATGTAATCCATTTCGTGTCGAGCAAGCAGACTTTCGCCAGAAGGCCGCTGGGAACAGCTGGTTTGATGGGGTTAGCTGTTAGCATAGAGCTAACCCCTCCGTGCTTCCCCTGCTTCCGCGTCCTGTCACAGCGCTGCCAGTGTCTTCCCTTCGGGACAGCTCCAGGCGAAACCATGGTCATCTCAGGTTACTAGATTATATCCACAAGCGTCTCTGTTACTAGTTTATATCCACAAGCGTCCCTGTTACTAGCATATTTGTTGTCTCACAGACTCAGGGGTGGAGGGTGTGGGGGGGGTGTTATGCGAGCGGTTACGTCTGTCGGAGGCCTCCACGTGGGGATGACAGACAGGACAGGAGAAAACTCCGACCAATCATTGCATTTGGTCCGAATGCAATGATTGGTCGGAGTTTTCTTAGAACCATATGAGAATGGTATAATTATTAGTTTTCATTTCTGGTGGAATTCACTTACACTTACATAAAAGTGTAAAGTTTCCAGAAAGGTAAGTGCTGCTTTAAATTCAGTGTGTGCGTGTGTGTGTGTGTGTGTGTGTTACACAGGGGTCACAACAGGTCCAGTTCTTCCATGTGGAGGAGACAAGTCATTATGAATGTTAAGAAGTCTTATAGTAGAGGGGATGAAGCTGGCTCTGCCCCCACTCATTTTTATTAATGGAGCAGCATATCTCCTGCCAGAGGGAAGGATCTGAAAGCAGGTGCAGAGGTTATGTGTCGAGTCCCTCAGAATCTTGCTCGCTTTTTTCACAGTTCTCTAGTCATAGAGCTGCTGGAGGGTCAAGCATTGTTCCCACAGAGTTTAGACCCTCTGCAGTTTGGCCTTGTTTTTCTCTCAGAGCCCGCTACACCAAGCCAGAGAGGAGAAGGTGAATAGACTCTCTATATGCCAGATGCAAAAGCTGTCGAGGATGGTAGGGGCCACATTCAGTTGCCTCCCCAGGATGTAGATCTGCTGCTGGCACTTTGTGAAGATGACTCGTGTGTTGTTCATCATAATCCAAGATACTTGTGGCTGCTAATGCTCTCTACAGCCTTCCCACTGAGAGTCTTCTGTGGGACAGAATCTGTCTTCCTTCTGAAATATAATCTCTGGGGAGACATTTATCTAGAGAACGTGCTCCTCACACCACTGATACCACTGTACAGAGTCCCTTAAAGGTCATGTCGGGAGATTTTTTTTGGACTGACTTGCAATAAATTTTGCGTTACCTCGCAATACTTTTGCGTTCCCTTGCAATAACGTTTGACGTGGAGTGAGAACGTACCAGGTTGGTGGAGGGGACAGCAGCAGTTGGGCCAGGAGAGGGATTCCCCAACACCGGCTCCAAGCGGAGAGGAATCCCAGAGCGTTTGGGCACGGCCTCTTTCAGGAGCTTTTGATGGGGTGATTGAATGCAGGAAGCCGGCTTTGATGGCAGAGGAGAGTTGTCATTTTTAAGTGGCAGAAAATGATCCTCATCCAGGATGGAAAACAACTATTTTATTGGACAACTGGCTCAGCCGGTGGCAGCTGTCACAACCAGGCGAGGTATCATGGTGGGGTCGGTGGAGGTTTTCTGGGAAGAAATAAACACAACTGTGGCCAGTAATGAAGTCGAAACAGGTGAAGGGTCATAGTTGTGGTGGTAGCTGTAGGCCGGTGAGGTAA